AGGACAAGGTGCGTTCCTCTAAGTCTTCCTACCAATATGACCAAGTTGCGAAAACAAGGTCAAATAACTTTGCTTCATCGGCAATCCCACCAAAGAATATGATATGAGAAAATGCCTGGCCTTCCTTAAAATTCACATCTGATTTGCGACCCAAAGGAACTCGTGGCAATGTGGCGTGGTGGGTAACTTGTCGAGATTACATGCTGCACTGTTATGGTTAGACTCCCACTAAGAGTATTGATAAGCTTTAGACGAGGTCGAAATTTCAGTCCACCCTGGATAACAACACCTTTTGGGAAATTTGATGGAAACGTAGGCTCTGTTTATATAATTGTGGGAAAATTCAATCATCATCCTCTATCACCTTAAACGAAATAGGATGAATACTTCGCATATCTCCTAAAGGGATTCTCTAAAATATATTCAATTATAAGCTTAAGTGAAAATGGCATTCCACTAGACATTTGAACAACTTTAATCTGGCCAAAAGCCACATCTAAGAAGAATGAAAAATTACATAATTAGCAAGGTAAAAAGGCCCAAAAACATATATCCAGAATACAGGTGAAAATTAGATAAAATATAATTTAGAAGCCTACCTGGGATCTGGCCAGAAATAGCTTCTCGGCTCTGTCTAATATTGCGGCCCTATAGGGGCGTATAGTGGATTCTTGCTTTCTTTGCCTATGAATTGAGGTTTCTGAGAGTACTCCACCCACCTCATCCAATTTTATATGCTTTCCCTGAACCTTAGAGGATTCACTTTTAGTGATAATTTTGTCTGGAAGCTCTGCATAATCCTCCTTCAGAGATTCATTTGTTTCGGTTGTGCCTAACTCCTCATTATATAAATCTCGATATAGAGAAAGAAGTTTTTCTCGTTTGCGCAGTTTGGCTGATTCGCGGTCTTTCCTTTTATTAAGTTGTTTGGCCTCATCCGATCGAACAGTTTCAGTTATTTGTAGGGTCAGAGGGGAGGGTGGATCCTTAGGCGATGAAGTCTGCATAGAGGTCGGATCAAAAGTAGGCAGGATGTTGGGAGCTACTGGATCAGGAATAGGGGATCGTGTTTTCGCGGAAGAATTTAAAAATGGTATTGCAGGAACAGCAAAATCAGGAGTGTCAATTACAGGGATGGAAACAGATACTTTGAGAGATCTTTTTAATTGACTTTCTCGAGCTTGAGCTTCAATAGAAGCTGCCTTCTGAACAAAGCTCTGTAGCTTTGCAGAGATCATGCTCGAGCTGAGACCCGAGTTAACCGAATGAGAACTTATAGAACATTCAGGTGAGTGCGTGCGCTTCAGTTCAGGTGGGTAGGCTGGAGAAGGCTGGCATAAGACATCTCTTGCTGTAAATACGGGGTACAGAGGAGTATCTCGGCGTACCACAGGTGAATAGGTGGGCAGCTCAGTCGGCCTAATCAGGTCAGAAGCCAAAGAATCCTCAATAACGGTCGGCGAATAGGCAGGAAAATTATCCTTGCGAAATGAATTACTTAGATCAGCCTTTTTAAGTTCAGAATAATAAGGATGAGGTGAGGCCAAGCCATTAAGTTCATCTATGGGAGTTGGCTGATAGGATGGTAAATCAGAGTGAGAATTGTTGGGAAGATTGACAGTTTCCATAAGCCGACTATTCTCCTTAGAAAGTATTGAGTCCTGATGTTTCCTTTTTTTCAATTGATTTATAGGCGTAGGCTTATAGATCGGAGGATCCATAGCTAAAAATAAGTGAGAAAGTTTCAAGAATGAGTCAGAGCAAAGCAGTGGATTATCGAGCATATGGGTGGTCTTAAAGAGTGCTATCGAAGTAAAGATGAGATATATCAAGGTTGGGAGTGTACAATAAGCGATATTAGGAGTAAGTGACAATGTAGTATAATTATAAGAAGAATACCTCCAAGGGCCAGTCAAATTAGGAGTAAAATAAAGGATGAAGCATTGTCATATCCTAAAGCAAATTAATTTACTCAAGTTTAGCATCAAAGGAAACGAGCAGGAATATAAACCTTGATCCCCCAATCATACCAGATAGTCAAACCAAGATAGTATGGTTTGTGCGACACAAATTAATCTAGAAAAGTAGATTCATGTGAATATGACCTAATAAACCATCACAGAGGAATTAGCTCTGAAAGTGTCCTAAGTATAGAAAGCTTAATTGATGAAGATATGAGATATGCATAAAGCAGGAAAGGGAGAGGTTCACAAATAGCGATTGTGATAATAAAAGCAGCTGTGATAAAGATGTGTAAAGAGTCATCAGAGCGGGCTAATCATTTTGGCCGGAACCCTAAGCTATCTAAATTCTACGCTGACTAAATTAAGGCTTATTCATCGATGGATCGATCTATGTATGCAATGAAGAGACAGATAGTAAAGCGAGGCCAGCGACATAACTAATAAAGCCTGTTAGTAGATAAGGAATAGAACTCATCTAAGATCTGGTGAAGATATGGCTAGGTGGAAAACGAGGATGGCAATGCCCGACACAAAAACATTGGCTTGGATGGATTTGATCTCGACTAAAAACACCGTAGGTAGGAGTTTGTATCTTGTTCTGAATGAGTGAATGTTGATAATAAAAAATAAATGGATAAGCTTATCCAAATAGGAGAGCCTATAAAAGCAGTTACTTAATAGCAATAACAAACCAATCAGTTGTACATAAAAATGTAAATCAGGTGTCATTTCCTGCCACAACGAAAGCTTGTATTACCGCCTAAAAAATTAATAAAGATTACCAATCACACAGCACATCGAATCACTTTCCGTGATTTAGTTAAGGTTTCGATCATATTTACTTTACACAACGCTGAACACACTTGATTTTGGTAACTAAGCCTCTTTCAATGCTATCTTTTAATGGAAGATGTGGAATGTCTCTGACTCAACCCCGAATTGATTTTTAATACTGATAGTCTGTCTTGAATCCTTATCACTTATACCCGAATTTCCCCTTCGGAATTTCTTGAACCTATATTAATAGGATATAATGGCTAACAACTTTTCTCAATAAATTTAGAGAATATTTCAAAATAAAACCATATACTTATTCATAAAGCTATCTTCGTCGTCATTTCCAACTTTATGAAGCAATTGTGCTTGATTTTCCCCACTCAGTTCTTAACAAGGATTTTGGGTCGCCTGTAAGGTCCCGAGAGTTATTCGTTCGCCTGAAACCATTTCCAATCATTAGCCGACTATCAATCGTGCATATTTTAATGACTCCATATATATAATACTCTACCACCGATCGTATCTTATACTTGGGTCAGTGAAGCTACAAGATAATTATTCGAGTCGATTGACTTAGGCAAGGTTTGTCTAGTTACGGCTCAAATCACGTGAAACTTGTCAAATGAAACCCAAGGAATGTAAGTGCCGTAACCCTAAGGAACAAACTGTACTAAAGTTATGATTCTTTGATTTAATGATAGAAAAACCCCAATATGTGCATATTAGACTGCATTGTAAAATGACAACCGGCTTATTTAGGCGATTCATTCAAAGTAGGTTTTCGAAGATCTACAGCAGAAACTCAAATTGCTACCTTACCTACAATAGCAAAGTGTAGGGCTGATTTTCGATAGCAGTAGAGCCGAGCTTAATACGCTTGGGTTGAATATAGACACGTATATTGTAATAATCAAATACATGTATAAATACGCAGTTACACGCACACACTCATGCCACTGAAGAGAGATCGACATTGAGTTCACTTACATTATTTGGCAAATTACCATAATTCGGGTGCAACATTAAACTTTTAAGTTAGAGAATAACCGACTAACTTGATACGAAGGGTGGTTTACTCTGACTTAATAAGCCCATTAATCAGTGTAATGATCAGTCAAGCGATGAAGGCTCCCAACACACCTCGAATATATGTTGAAGACCATAGAACATTTCAATTTTCTAAACATGGCAAATGGGCTCAAACAAACTTTAATATAGAATAAGGTAGAATAAATATAGTTGGATATTTAGCAGTTTTTGCATTTAAAAAGAGTGGAAACACATGCACATCAATAACCCAAACAAACAATTAGATTTTCAGAATTAAAGTTAAAGCTACAATGGAGCCATTAAGGCATGAGGGAACATAAATGGCAAGCTAAATGTGAAAGTTTTGTCAGAGGCATTAGGATTCTATGGATTAAACTAGCAAAACCGTATACAAAAAGGACTAAGAAAAAGTGTGACGAATATTCAGATCTGAATATGGCTAGGCAAGGTAAGGTACGCAATTCTTAGAAATATTGGATAAGAAAGCCAATATAGTACTAAAGATTATGGTTACCATGCTAGGTGAATTGGCCATAAACTAACCATAAAAGCACTTGAGCAATGAGATTGAAAATAAATATTTTAATAGAGAGAAATGCAGCAGTTAAGGAAAAACCTGCCCAAACAACGGTCGAAAAAGCCGGACTGCTCCACAACGGGCTTAATTTGTATTGATAATTAATATTTTTTTAATATTATTTTTTTAATTTTGTAACCATATTTAGTTTGATTTTTAATTCATATGTCTTTATTTTTTAGTAATTTATTATGTTTAATAACTAAGTAAAATATATATGTATATTATTAACTATTTTTTTATAGTCTTGTTTTTCTAAGGGACTTTGTTGGCCGCAGTTTAATTAGCTTGTTCGCTCTTCTTGCTTTGCTATGCCCTTACCTTGTCCTACTTACTTCTTTTCATGGTCGCGGCGCCTGACTTTCATGATGAAATACCATTGCTAACTCCAAATGCCATGGAGCACTGTCTTCAACGAAATAAAACCAAGAGTGGTCTCGTTATACGTATAAGGGATTACGAAATGAAAAATTATGAATATGTGCTTTACGTAATCGAGGTCCATGTGAGTTACATATCGGTTAGTGATATGTTGGGGCATATTCACTAAAGCATGTAATTTGAAATTCTACCTTTTGTCTATTCTCACTTGTCTTATTCTGTAAAATGCATTAAGACCCCAATCCACTTCGTTCTGCCTATCGCGGCCCACGTTATTCAAACATGTCTTTTGGGGTCTTTTTGGATAGTTCTGATGGTTTGTTTGAATTACTTCTTGCTAGTGTTTCTTTAATATGGTTCTGTTCATTTCTTCCTGTATTTCTGGTTGATGACTTCTGTGGTCTGCGTCCCTCATAATTCGTGGCGATTCTTTATATTAGTATATATCCTGATATTATTTATCGTAATAACGTATAGTATCGATAATTAGTGTATTTTCTGCCTAATCTTTTTAATTGGATTTTTCCGTGCATGAATATTATTGATTTCTTTTATAAGTCTTATTCACTCTGATCTTAAATAAAGTGATTTTTGTTGATATTTGTGATCCCTTTAGGCTCTCACTCCGCATTGTTGCGACGTTGTAATCTGGGGGGCTTTTCTCTTAATCGACCACTGTTATATCAAAGTATCTTGTCTTCTTTACTATTTGCTAATCCTACGTTCATGATCAGCCTGTTAGGGTTTCCATCATTTCCTAAAATACCTCGTTTCTTTTAAGCTTTTGTTTAATTACTCCGTAATTTGGCTATTCATCTGTCAGTCCTTACGCTTTAAATATCATTTTGAGCATTTTGGCAGCGTATCCTGTTATTCCATACTGTCCTTAAATTAGCCAATTCAAAGATGACTTGGTGACATTTTTCGCTATCTATTTTACTCTAGACCGTCACTGTTGAGGCACAAAAAGCTGCTGGAGATCTTCGTGTTTGGTCCGTAAGCAGGCGATTCTCTGAGTTCGTTCGCCTTCGAGAAGCTCTTGAGAAACTGCATCCAACATGCTTACTTCCCGTTCTCCCCAATAAAATGGATGGTGCTAATGCTTCTTGGCACCGCTTGACTGCTCTACTAACTGGTGATGATCTTATCAGCAAATTATCTATGAGCCGTCTCACGCCTTGGTCTTCAAGCCAATCGCATCTGTCTACTCCAAATTGCTCCTTTTTTTCAGATCCTACAACGTCATTATTTAATTCGTCAGAATCTAATTTTCGTCTGCTTCCAGGTGCAATATCTGGTCGCCGGTTTTGCATAAATCTTATTGAAGCCAGACGGGTTGCTTTGGAAATATTTCTTAGGCGTGCTCTAGAACATCCCCGACTCGGATGTGATCCGCTCTTGATTTCCTTTCTATGTGAAGATAAAAGTTGGCGGTACAGCCTTAAGGTACCCCTTACTATCTTTATTGTTATCTCTATGCATATATGATTTTTCTTGAGTTTACTTCAAAATAGCCATGCTTGTCAATCAGCGCCTAGCATTCACTAAGTCTATTTAATCAGGTCAGAGCCCCTTTGAGTATTTTTAATTAGTTGACCTTTGATGAAACTTTGGATGAAAAGCATTCATAATTTGGTTTTACCTAAATTAGAACAAGGATTTTTTGTGATGCTTATTCGTCGATTTAAAACTATTAACCTCAAGCTTAATGTCCTCCTACCAAGATAAAAATGCTCTAACCTCAAGATGGTTAAAGAAAGGCGTACTTTTAAATCGCTACAAAAATCCCAAGACAGCCATAGCTTAATTTCCAATGAGAATAACATCTCTATGTCTTTTAATTGCTAAAGTTTAGATCCAATGACATTCAATTTTTTAATTCCTACGTCTGGCCTTTTGTACTTTAGGAAACGATGCATTTAATTAGTATCGAATAGGTTTCGAAACTTTTAGTATATCCTGAATAAAAACTTTATTCTATTCTAGATCGCATAATGCGATAGTTTAAATTTCTCATAATGATTGAATATAGTTCTCATTCGAGGCAAACTGCAGTTTCATTCTCCACTGTGTCTTATTAACACCCCAATGTCAATCGAACCCGCGTAGTGCTGCATTTATTTTAGACACGCTATCATTAAGCAATGCTAACAGGGGTGCCAGTAGGTCACAGGCCAGACGAAGCTGCTTGCTCGTATTTGATGATGAGGAAAACTTGTATTTTGTTATTAGCATTGACTACGAGGTAAAGATTATCAATAGATTTTGACTAAGAGCTGTAGTCACTCTAGGTCTCATTAATTACTCAGGATATACTCATATTATCTAAACCGACCAAATATACGAGAGGCTTGGCTTCCCTTGAAGGTCATGTCTGCTTTATGACTATCACCCGTGGCAGGGTGGAATAGGGGTAGTATGTTGAGAATATACGCTGAGTGATTCCACCCAGACGAGGTCGAAACTGCAGTCCATCCTATATTATATTAACTTTGAGAAGCAAAGCTGATTGAAATTTTATAGCATCTAATTCTAAGGTCTCATACTTGTGGATGCATTCAACTGTGTCCTATGGAATCTTTAAGTCTAATATTCATAGGCCTGCACATTAAACGTTAATGGTGCGGATATCTTTGGTCTGCTTTGAATTTAATC